ATTTTTTATTTGCTGCAGTATATTTTTTATTTGCTGCAGTATATTTTTTGTTTGCTGCAGTATACTTTTTGTTTGCGTTGAGCCTTCTGGGCCGCCGTAATTTTCAGTTTTCAGGCTGAACGTGTTCTTATATATATGCTCCTTTTTTACCAAATTTCAGCCTGGGTGTTCTTTATCGACATTTTTGTTTACGGGTTTTTACAGTTTTTACTGTAATGATAAGTCCCTGGGAACAAGTTTATCCCAGTACTACACCGCCATGTTTCGTAAACAAGAACATGGCGGCTCAGACTGTGACATTCGATGTTTTGGTGTAAAGCGGTACTTTTATGATCTGTATTTAGTAAATCGGGATGGAAAAGTTAAGTGATGAAATCTTAGTAAGGATTTTCAGCTTTTTATCTGCTCGGGATATTTGTAGGTGTTCCAAGGTGAGAACTGGGGCTTGTTCTTTGATATTTCCAGTGAGTAGTGTGTCTCAGTGAAGCTTACTGAAGTTGCGGAATATGTACCGTAACTATTTTATTATAGGTATGCTCTGGTTGGTATCGTCTTGCAAACGATTTTCATTTGTATCCTTTCCGAGGATCTATTTCTTAGTTCAGGAACAGTTGGGCATGTAACGTAGCCGCAGAGGAGAAGGTGAAACGCTGTTTCTAGCTATTGTGTCGTAATTATAAAATATGAACCCATTACCGATTCAGCTGACGATTGGTTTCGCTTATTTGCAAGTCAAAGTTATCTTTTAAGTTTATGACAGTTTAGTTTACCCTACATTCGTGTTCTATTCGTTAAATAATCTTTACTGATCAACTAAAGGAATTGAAGGCTGTACTTTCCTTAATAAACAACTACCGGTTCATTTACAGATGGAGAAAGTTGTTTATAGAATCATTTGACAAATTCATCTCTGATTCTTCCTACTATAAAAATGTGTTTCCAACCCAGTGGAAAGAATTGTTCATTATGCGGTCAAACTGGTTAAGTGGACACTGTCATGTTCAAAGTCTTCATAAAAAAGCTATAACTCCAGAAAAAACTGAACCCACTAAAATTGTGTGCTTGAAAATATCAAAATGTGGTGGGAGTGTTTTAGCAAGTGTTAACCAAGACTCAAAGTTGGTACATTTGTGGAGTTTGATTCACAAGAAGTCTCTTCATGTTGTACGGTGTGAAAGTGTTGTTGGTTGTGTAGACTTTGGAAATGAAGGCTCTCAAAGTCTATTGGCTATTGGTCTCTATAGTAACAAGGTAAGAATATGTTTTATTTCAGATAAAAGATAAAGTTTTGCAATCAATTTTTGAATGAAAGACTTTTAATGTAACTTCAAATAAATAATTCTGTCTTAAGGTTATCTCTGCAGTACATGTTAAAAAAATCAGGCAGGCTATAGTTAACTGAATTTAAACTTATTTGTTTCCTAGTTCAGTATTTGGGACTTCCATAATGGAAGGATTATCCTAAGCAGAAAAAATATAACAGAAGTAACAAGGGATCAAATGGAGAGTCCGAGGGATACTGGTTTGCCACCTGCCACTGCTGTTTGTCGTGTCAATCTGGTGGACAATAAACTTGCCACTGTTACTTCTCAATGTGTTGTTAAAGTGTGGGAGTTAGATTTTAATCAGCCGGGAAGAATATCTTGTTATTGTTTGCACACCCTCACAACTTTTAAACCAAGGTAAATATTGAGGTTGTATTATCTTGTGAAAGAAGTTTCTGGGATGCTCTTAACACTTTACACCCTATTTTTGGAAAATCCTACTAGATTTGCATTTTTTTTTTTTCATGAAAATATTTAATTAAGAGTGGTTAAACAGGCAATTATTGTGCCATTAACATGTCCAACAATCCAAAAAAAAGTCATAATGTAGACTTTTGAAATGATACTCAGACTCGGCAAAATTGTAGCATTTCTTTTCCTCAATGATTACATGGCACTCACTTTACATTAATGAAGCAAAGTTGATATCACTTTAGAAACGTTTCAGCTAAAAGCTGAATACTACTAAGTTATGTTTTTGTTTTGTTCTCACCTTTAGGTGTTCTGTTCTAGACATTCAACTGAAGAATGGTGAGAATGATGTCTGGTCTGTGTCCATTTCACATGCTGCAGAAGTTCTAGAAAACTGGAATCTTATTGGATTTCAGGTATTATTAAACTTTTGATTACTCTCAACTGTTTTATTGAACTGTTTTATTGAACCCCATGGTTATAGACCCTCTTGTCTATTGACCACCCTACTTTTATTGTTTGCTTGTGAAACTTATATTTTGAATTATTGATAATGAATTGTCAGAGACCTATTTAATATATCCCAGCTTATAAGTCAGCCTCTGGGCAACGCACATTTTTATACCGTGCAACGAGTTTGTGGAATTCTCTCCCACGTGAAGTAAGAGAATGTGTCAATTTGCCAACCTTCAAGAGACATTTAAAGGAATTTCTGGGTAGTTTTTTTAAGGATTGAGACATATTTTAAAGTTCATAAGTTTTGATTTAGTATTGATTGTAATTAGTTTTTAAAACCCATTTAGTGGAAAACTAATAAAGAGCACCGGGACTGAGACCAGTGGTACATATGAAAATTTTTCAGCGAGGTCATGTATGGAGAACTTGTTAATTAATCCCAAACAGTGCAGGAGTTTGAAATTAAATTGATTGAAAGGAAAGTTTAAAGTAGAATGTTCAGTAAAAAATAGCAAACAGGGTGGCAAAAAGTAGCAACATTCTGATTCAGTGTTGAAGGACAAAAACACCTAGCAAAGCTTGAATAACTTGCTCATTTTGGTTGTTAAAAGGCAATGACATGGCTGGTCTTGTGTAATTTGGGAGAAATAAACACTCACTGGTTAAATTTTCAAAGAATTTGGAATCCTTTGAAAAATGTACTTGCAGTGATTTTTCCAAGTTATAACATCTAGCAATCATGTAATTACCCCATACAATAACTGATCTGTTCATTAATATTATTTTTTCATCAGACTGTAAGATTTCAAGGACATTCACTTGTCGAGGAAGATACTGGAGTCAATTTTAAAGAAGGTATATGGTTTGAGATCCAAGAGTCCTTTTCTCTATATATTCTTAATTTTGAGTCAGCCATACTAATAGACAATAGACAAGGATTACTTTTTAAGTTAATAAAAGATATATTCCTCCTTGTTAAAGAATCTGTTGACAATGAAGAAGCTTTTCTAATAGCAAAATTCCAAACATGGATGGGACCACAAAAAGAGGTGAGAGATTAAATCTAAAAAAGCTGATTTAATTATATGGTAAATATATATCATTTGGCAAGTTAGTGCTCTAGCCTGTTGCTAAATTCACCTTCAAAATGGTGTGAATTATATTTGATAACAAGGATTGCTGTCTCTCTTTACAGCAAATGGGCTCCAGAACATCGGTGTCTTGCCTGTCCATCAGTCCCTGTACAAAACTGGTCACTTCTGGACAAAATGACAATACTATTACACTGTGGGACACTGCTACTCAATCTTGTAGGCACACTCTGTTTGGACACACAGGTATTTGTAATATGATTGTATTGAACATCAATAATAAAAATAATGTAATATAAAGTTTGAAATCATCTTAACCTAAATTTTTATATGTATTAGGTATATACAAACTTGGCGACTGGTAAATTGCAATTCCTTGCCTATTGAATTAGTTTTTATGCAAATGAAATTTAGTTAAGCTCATCGTAAGTCATTAACTGATGGAAAAGAGTAAAAATTTTCTTGTCACTAACTACAATTATTATGAATAATAATGCTGGCCAGGTGCTGTGACGTGTACAGATGTAGATATGCACAAGGTTGTTAGTGGATCAAATGACAGAACAGTCAAGGTAGCATTTAATGTTTTCCTTTTTAAATTGTCAAGTGCTGGTACTGTACAAGAAATTTTTTTCATACTGCAATTGGTGGATATTAGTAAATAAACCACTGAGAATTCAACCTTTTATTATGGTTAATGATTGTAACACTATGTGCAAACCAACAACTTCAGGAAAATTTTTCTCAAGTTAACCAAATTGAGTCACTAACTTCATTTTTAGTCGGGACCACTTGCCAAGAACATTAACCTCTTCCATTTTTGTTCCAGCAGTTCAGACAATTTCTTTTGTTGATATAGGTTTGGTCCTTAGAAAATGGTGATTGTCAGTTAACACTCCCTGGTGATCATACTTCTGGAGTCTCTTCTGTTACATTTAATGATCACTGGGTTATTAGCGGTGACTCTTCTGGAGAGATCAAGGTAAATGTATCATCAAAATAATTTTTTTTTGTCTAGCTCTACTAACTCAGAAGCTTATTATTATTGTAAGTTGTCATCATGATTCTTTGTGTCATACCTGTTGTAATCTTCCATAGGATCATTGTGATCTCTATGTTCTTCATTCTCAAGTTCAAGTACCCACTTGTTTGATACAATTAATAAGTTATTGTTCTGGTCTGTAGGTGTGGGATTTTGCTGTTAACAGCCTGTCTGTATTGCAAAGTTTAGAACTTCCATCACAACAAAGTCAAGCTCTTTGATATCAGCTCTGTATTTTTTTTTTCAAATATATAGGGAAAGTCTTCATTCAAATTTATTTATTTACTCTCTTAGTGCTGAGGTCATAGTCCTTTTTTTTAAATGTTATCAGTAACACTGTTTGTTTTTATTGGTAGCTTTTTGACAAAAATAAAACACCTAATTGGATAGGAGTGGTACTAAATAGCATCGCAATTTCAAATTTTTATAATTTTACCAGTAGATAATACATATATTGTAAGAAAGGTTGTGGTTAAAGAGTAATGTAATTGTTTGTCTCATAATGTGGTCACTTGGGATGTGGATTGCAACAATTTGACTGCATACTACCATTCTTCTTCAGGTGATGAGGTTGATGGAGTATGTGTCACCTATATGCTCTTGTGTTCAGCTGTGATTGGATGGAATTCCATGGCCGTGATTGGTGCATATTTTAGATTAGCTTTCCTCTGTTTGCTGTTGGATGGTTCTGCTGTTTTGTTTTTTGATTGTTGGCATCCAGGCTTTTGGGATTTCAATTCCATTGTCCCTGTCAATGTTGTTAGGGTGAAGTCTTTTGTGATTTGCCTTTTTCACCCTGCATATTTAGAAAGTCTGAAAGATGCACCAGTCACAGCTATGGAATTCCATCCAATTACAGCTGAGCACAACAGCATATAGGGGATGCTTACTCAGTCCACCCCTTTGCCTGAAAAAGAATAGCAGTGCACAGTTCAAATGTCAGGATCCACATCCCAAGTGACCACATCATGAGAGAAATGTTAACATTTCTCTTTTGAAATAATACATACTATGTAAATACTACAATGTTTTTATCATGATGATTAAGTTTTGACAATTTTAATTCTACATTGTAAGTTTTATTTATGATCATTATTAAAAGTTGTCTTTTAAGCAATGTCTAATCAGTATCTTAGTTTCCTATTGTTTTTAACAAGAGACTGTTTCTTCAATCAGAAGCTGAACATAGTAATTTGGCACCCATGTGTTGAGAAAAGAAAAGCACCATTTGTATGTGGCTCTGAATAAGCCAGGATTATTTTAAAGGCCTTTTTCCATCTGAGATTCTTTGCAGTCGTTTGTTTTTGTTTTGGAATCGCGCTATTGTTAAATAGCGAACTCTGATAGTCATTCACAAACACTATTAAAAAGAAAAACAAAGATTTGGTGAAGAACACAGTAAACAAATTTGCAGCTAAATATTTGAGACTGAAAAATCACAAATCAAGTCTGTGTATAAAACTTGTACAAAGCTTACCTGATGTCAAAGGAAATTGTTCAGCTTCAAACACTAAATAAAATATAAACAAATAACCAATACTGGCCAAAACTGGTTTACTTTACGCATTTCAATTATAGAATAATGACTTGTACAAATGAGATCGCTTACATACATATCTCAGGATCTCAAGTAAAAATCAGGCAAATAAATTATTATTCTC